TGCAAAGTAACACTTTTGCGATGCTTGCTGCTTCTGGTCAATAGACATCCTTTAATCTTCTCTTCTAGCAGATTAATAGCTTACCTGTTGACTTCATCTTGACCTGTCTAGACCATATATCTTCCTCTTTTAATGTCATTTACATATCCACAGTTGCTAGGTTAAATTGCATGGAAGTTGGTCAGCAACCAAGGGTACAAGTCCTTCGGTCAAGGTAATTAGAATTAGAATTGGCTGTCAAACTTAACCCCTTTCTTTCCTGCCAAATAGCATATGAAGTTGGTAAATACAATAAATGGAAATACAGAAAGGTAAAGTCTTATGAAGACTGCTGAAAATATGATAGCAGCTACACATACAATAAAAATGCAGATTAACTGCATAAGTACACCGGGTAAGTTAATAGTGCTGCGACTGCTCTGTAAGTGCATACGGAGAACAGACTGTAGGGAGACACAGCACAGTAAATGAAACAGACTAAAAACAACAAACGAAACCCTATTAAACTTTCCAACCCAAGCTGAAGAATATGAGCATCTGCTGTCCAGAGATGTCTGTGCCTGTTTTGGAACTACTGGAGGTTGCAGACAACTTTCAGGTGTTGTTTTGCCTGCTGCTGACTTCTTCCTGATGATTCCTATCACAAATTCAAGCAAAATAATGCACTTTTTTTTTTATTTCAGGTGTTCAGATTCTTTCAGAGCAGGTGATCTTTTCTGTGCATCTCTGGCTTCTGTTTACATTATTACAAAGATAACTTTGTTAGCCTTGAAAAGATGCATCTATGGAAGAACAAGAGGGTTCATTTTCATTCTGCTTTCTATCAGAGCAATCACTTAAAACAGTGCTGAAAAGAGGTAGCAACCCAGATACATTTTCAAAACCTGATCTGATCCTAGAGAGTGGACCAAAACCGCTTTCAGAGTATGGATCTAAGCAAAGCTGATATGGCAGTCCTTGAGAGCCAGTTAATATGGAGATTGACAAGGCGTTTTGTTGAGGAGGATTAGGCTTCAGTTTCAAAGAAATGAAAACTACATAAATTGTTACACTGTTTTTAAAATATATATGGCCAAACTCTACTATGAACTGTGTTAATACAATCCTGCTCACCTTCACTGAGATCTAAAACAGAATCTCCATCCACATATATTCCACATATTCCCCTTTCAGTATGCAATTATGTCTGAGTTTTATACTAAATAACGTAAGAACAAAGGATAATTCATTAATATTTTTGAAATGCAGTAATGCTGGCTTGGTGACTTCTCAGTCTTAGAGAGTATTTTCACCCATTTTTGTTTTTATTCTAAATTAAGATAAATAGGACTAGCTAAAACCTTTTAATCCGCAAGCCATGTGCATTAGGACTAATTCATGTAACACTGAGTCAGAGTTATTTTAGTTATCTTGGAGGCCTCCTGGGAGCACAGACATATTAATTTAGTTTCCTCCAAAGAAGTATGATGCTAGATCATAATTGAAAGTTGTTTTTTATTTTCACTGTATACAATGTTGAGAGAAGTCAAAATGCACTCCTCCTCTTTGTCTCCCAGTTGTTGAGCTTCTTTGTGCCTGTACCTTCTCAAGCAGAGCTGATTTCTGTAATATGGTGCTTGCTGCATCCTCTCATTAATGTCACTTAGTGCATCATCAGTGAGAAAACTGTACTAAAACTGCATTTGCTATTTAGTAGGGCAAGGAGAATCTAAGAGTGCTCCAAAACATTGAAGGATTGAGAATGACTAAAACCAGAAAATAATTATCATTAAGGCAAAGTTCCTTCTGTGTTCAAGGGGCTTGTAGCTAGCAGGATCAAAAAATTGTGCTATGAGTACTTCTACATTCAGCATCCACATTTTCTGTTAAGTTCTGGATGACTGCAAGGTAGAAGGTCTACAGAAATCAAGGGTAACTCAACTATTATATTTCTGATTATCTCAGAGTTCTGTGTCACCATGAGAAACAAGTGTCTTTTAGAAATTTCTCCTTCTATATTTCAGATATGATAAACTAGTAACTATAGATACACTTCAGGCTGGTTGTGCTGTAGAGGCTGAGAGTAGGAAACTCTTTCATAGGAGCATGACTTTATCCTTCACCTTTGTCAGAATATGTTTCTATCATGTACGTCTGTCTCTTATCTTATGCATAGCATGTACCATGTGAACACTGAGTGTCTTACATGTCTTAAATAAGCATGAAGAATAATGTGTCAGTTTTCAAATCTTCTTGGTTTTTTTTTCCTGTTTGCCTTCTACAGCTTTAAATCAGCATTTTGTTGATTTCAGATTTCAATTTTTTTGTGTACCTTGGAAACCCTTTCATGATTTGGTCAAAATGTATTATATCTTTAAATATGCTTGAGAGACAAATGTATTGTGATTTTTATATACAAAAGTTTGTATGCATAGGTCTCAGTTCATTTATATCGATTCATTGTACAGCTTGCTCAATACTGCATCAGTAAACAATTTCAGTGACTTTTAGGATCAAGTGGAGCATATAATGGCTTAAAACCTGCATTGATGGAAGATTAATGTAAAAGCTGAATGCAGAGGACTCCAAGCATGTAACCAAGTGAGATATGTAATTTCATAGAACTGAGCCATTGAGAAATCTCTGTATTAGAATTGGCAAGCTTTTTTAGTTTTTTTATCTGAAAATCCTCATACAACAGTATTCTCACATGGAACTATTACAAGGTTACAGCATCTATAACAAGAAATGCTTTAGGCCTCCTTCAGTGTAAGGATTAGGTTAGCCACAATAACTCTATATTTTCACAGTGATTCCTCTCTAACATTATTTCTAATATCTTATATTTGTTTTTTTAAGCTTTGCATGTAAATTAAGAATGTGTTTTTCTGTTTCATTTTAATTAGCACAAAAAATAACTGCTAAAGTAAAAATAAACTGTTTTTCAGCTGCTTTTCTTGTAAATAGCATGTCTCTGGTGAAATGCATTTTCTTCTTCAAAGTCTCACAGAATCACTGACTAATAGAGGTGGAAAGGAACCTCTGGATATCATCTGGTCTGGCCTCTGCTTAAGCAGGGTTACCCAGAAGAGGCTGCCAGGACCATGTCAAGGTGGCTTTTGAAGATTTCCGAGAAAGGAGACTCCACAAAGTCTCTGGGCAGCTTGTGCCCTGAACTTTCTCTTTTTCAGGCTGAACAATCCCAGCTTGTTCAACCTTTGTTCCCATGGTGGTTCTTCACTGGTCTCCCTGCAGTATATTCACATCTTTCTGTGCTGCGGAACCCAGAACTGGACCCAGCACACCAAGCAAGGTCTCACCAGTGTTGAGTAGGAGGGAAGGATCACCTCTGCCGGCAATACTTTGCCTCGTGCCACCCAAAATACTGTTGATTTTCCTTGTGCCTAGAGTGTACCGTTGACTAATGTTCAGCTTGGTGTTCACCAGAACTCCTATGTCATTTCTTGCAAAGCTGCTTTCCAGAGGAGAGTTGAAGAAAAATTGTTCACAGAAAACGAGGGCTGCTCCTATTTTATTTTTTGGCCCATAATGTCAGAGGCAGATGATGGTATGGCAGTAGATGCTGAACCTTCCTGCTGATATTTTGTTCCACTTTATTACTGTGTGACAGAGGGCAGCACAGGGGACAGTCTGACAAAGTATCTTCTGACATGGAAGAGTGTATTAAGCAAAGGTGTGGAATTGAATTTGTCCATGGGGAAAAAATTGTGCCCATTGGCATTCATCAGTGTTTGCTGAATGTTTGTGGAGGCCAAACAGTGGGCGTGAGCACAGTGAGGCAGTGGTTGGAGTGTTTCAGCAGTGGCAATAGTGGGACACCTCTGCTAGTGCAGATTTTTGTGAATTTTTGTTGCATATAGTTCATTGCTGGTGAAAATGTACAGCTAATGGCAGAGACTAAATTGAAAAAGAGTTTTGTAGCTGAGAATTTGCTCTATCAAGTTGTTCTGTTGTGCTCTTTGTATCTGTTGTGGTTTCCATGAAAATAAATAGGAGATGTTGCTTTTAAAGCAACCTACATAGTTCAGAGGAATTAAATTCCGAGGGCTAGCCTAGCTTTGGGTTTTCTTTTGTTTGTTTGTTTGTTTGTTTTGAGAATTTGTCCCTTTTTAAGGAGGCAGGCATTTATGTCTTAGAGTGCAAGTTGACCAGATGGTTGTGGTTCACAGCTACTCTGTTTTGCATTATGTTTCTACTTCATGCAAATAACTTGTAACAAGTGAGCTAGAACTACTGATGACTTTCACTGATTTTCCTAGAGTAGGAGCATTAGTGATAGGAAGTCTACTCTGGAAGCACTTACAGAATCAAGAGATGTACACAGCTCCTCAGTTTGCAGTAGGCGTTTCTATATTTGTGCAGAGGTAGACCCAAATATTACGTTGATAAGTAAAGAAAACAAGGATGAATATGTTTCCAAGCTGCCTCTTGGGCTGACACCTCAGGTGTTCATTGGTTACTGTTTTTCTGGTTTAAATACCAGTTTATACTTATTGAAAACTGTGCTACTTGCAAGAATGGCAAAAAGACAGTCTTGTTTCCTCAGCCTTCTGTGCTTTCAGTTTTTAGACTTTGTTCAATAGTCAGTAGTTAGCACTTTATTGTGGCTCATTCCTGTGATTCAAGAGAGGAAAAGCGTCCAATACCTATTTCTAAATCAGTTCAATATCTGTAGATTCTTTCTCATTTAAGAATTATTAAATTGGGTCTTTCTGTAATTTCTAACTTGTTTTGTTATTATTACATAAAGTATGAAGTTTCTTAAATACTGGTTCTGTTGTGTTATTGTTATTTCTGGAATCACTTAATTGCAACGGAGTTTCAGTTTGAATTAAAACATTGAAATTAAACATTGGACTTAAAAATCCAGACTCTGATTTTATTACTATTACTGGATTGTTTGTTATTTCTTTCATAAAGTACTGTAACTCTTTGCTAGTGTTTAATGGCTTAATCTTTGTCATAGCTTTCCATAACCTTATGATTTTCTTATTTTTCAGGGTCAGCCTGGTCCTCAAGTAAGTGCCATCTTATTTCCTACTTAAGGCTAAATGAAGCCCACAAAACTCAGTTTATCTACAACGTAATTTGATGTGGAGTCTTTTTGATCGTATTGCATTAAGTTTGAAACTGGTAACCATTGCATAATTCAGCAAGACAAATACTTCCACAGAGAGAAACATGGGGCCTCCCATACGGTTGTCTGAGTTCCCTCAGCTGTTTGACCAGATGGTAGGGTTAACAACGTGGTACTGAATAAAGCAAATCTCCTAACTATGGCTTGAAACTTTGCCACCTAACTTTAAAGCAAGATAAAATAACTTAGCAAATGTGTAGCAAATGCGATTCTTCAACTGCTTATTAATCACATACTAATAATGTTGCTATAATCCAGGCAGGCCTCAGTTATTTTAAATATTGTGCTGCTAGCTGTTGTGATTAATTATACGTGCTCCTTGGATTAGTTCTGCTGTATTTAAGATAGTAGAACTTTGTTTTGTGAGTTGTAATTGAAGATGTGGAAATCCAGGGACATAACTTTGGTTCTAATGTAGAAATAGACCAGCAAATAGGAAGCATCTGGTATAGTAAAAGCTATGTGTAAATTGTTTCAGTTGCAGGGTAAAGAAATGTGGAAGAGTAAAGAAACAGAGGGGAAGGGGCAATGCGGGGAAGCCAACACCAAATTCAACTCAGTGAAATGACTTGGAAAAAACTATTTTTTGTATACCTAAGATGCAGTATAGAAAGGGAACTCTGGTTTGGGGGACCATCTTAACCAAGAGTTGTCTGAGCCAGAAGTTATGGGGGTGCTTGATATTTCAGAATCGTAATTGTAAATCAAATCTTTGCAATGTTGTTGTTTTCTTTTTTTAAGTTAAAATTTTCATTAATGAAAGGAAACATTTTCCTTGGTTTTTTTTTTTTTTTTTTTGCTTTTTGCATCCCTTTCTGTTTAATAAAAAAAAAAAAAAAAATAGTGTTACAAGTCCTCTCCATGCTGTTTGAATGCTGTGCATCAGTGCCCTAGGATTTTCTGATGCTCTCCTTTGCATGGTACCAGACTCTATTTAATATGGCAGATATAGTCTATATAATATTTGGAATGACCACTTTTTCATAGAGTTTGTATTTTACAGTAAGTAGGCTCTTGGCTTGTGACCTGCACAGAGATATCTGAAGACTTTTTGCAGTTGGCAGTCAATAAAGAGAGGGACTGTAGTTCTGAGTGGCAATCTTGTTCAGAACAAGCTCTGCTGAGAACCTGAGGGTGTTCTCTGAGCCTGTGGGCTACTCTGTAAGTTGATGTTTACTTGTGCTGCTACCCATGTGCTTTCCACCTGAGGCTGGATCACCATTACCCCCACCTCAGTCCCTTTCAGAATGTACCTTAATACTGTAAGCAGCTTCTCACTTCTTGGAGCTCCTCTGTCTACATGAAATGCCTTGAGGTACCTGTAGGCAACTAACCACGACAGAGTAGTAACTTTCAGCGTGATCTGTTTTAGAAGCAGACAGGCAGGAAAATCTTATCTTTATTGTATAAAGTGGGGTGCAGACTATGGGGGGAAGAAAAAAAAAAAAAAAAAAAAAAAAAAAGAAAAAAAACTGCAGAGAATTTTATTAACTTCTGTGCCCTATGTGATCATACAGATATCAGTGCCGGGGAGTGCTAGATCTAGGATGAGATTTCCTATGATCTAACTTCACTGGTTCCTCTCAGTAGAAACATTTAACTATTTGTATCATTATTGTTTTGCTGTTGTTTATCATTAATTGTGCCTTTTCTCTTCTTCAAATCAATATGCTCATATTACAGCAGAAGGATGTATACTCAGTTATTTTGACTGGCTGCATGAGTACAGAAATAATTCTTACTAATGCACACGTGAGGAGGGATACTGGCATGAGACTTTCAGAGATTGAGATGCCTAAACATAAAGGCTTGTGTGTTGGTGTTGATGTGCAAGGTGTCTAAGCACTGCTTGTAGTCAGTGAAGGTTAAGTCAATCCTTAGTGCAGTTAGAATGCTCTTAAGCTTGCTGTAGACTCCTAAAGCTCAAGTACATTGCCTGCTGACAGGCATCTGTTGCTGCACGGGAAGATTCAGTCTCCAGCTTACTCTCTGGCAGCCATATGTACAAAGGCAGGAGTCTGCTGTTAGACTGTTGTTGTATCTGTCAGTCATGTGCAGCTGTCTTGAATACCTGGTAAACTCTCAAATGACACTAGTTGCATACGGCCACGCCTCTTAATTACAGATCCTGATTACAGGCAGATACTGAATGTAATCAACATTCTATTGAACTGCTCTTTAGACTACTTGCAGGGCTTAACCTGCTAAATGTTAGATGCCTTCCTCTTAAACAGGAACTTAGGTCCAGGTAGCTTCTGTAAGTATGATTTTTAAAGTATTATTTTAAGCTTTAGTTGAAAATCTGAAGATGTTTATGAAAAGATCTTTAAAGTATTATTAGAATCTGTTTACATACTGATAATGCAAGACAAACTGTTTCCCATTTTAAAAAACAGCTTGCTGGAAGTTCAGTTACCCATGAATATACAGAATTTCCCCATTCTTTTTTGTGCCCATAAGACGTTTAGAATGAGAAGTATTGGTAGGCTTCCTGCCTTCAAAGATCACAATTTCTGTTCTGATGATTGAAGCACTTAAAAAACTTTACAAGCTCAAAGCTAAATTCTTACTGTTTTTATACTCAGTGTATTAAGCATAACTATTTTCTTGCCATGATTTTCAGGAAGTAAACAGTTAATTGACCCAACTTGTACATAATTACTGGGTACGAATACTTAGTCTTAATGAATATCATCAGTAATATTAGTAACATCTCCTACCTCAGCCATTGAGTTTGTACTGTCAATCTTCAGCACACAACTGAAAAAATAATTTTATTTCATTATTCAAGTAGAAAGAGACTTCACTAAAAACAAAATATTTTTAAATATTTATTTTCAGAAAAAGCTCATGGTTCTGTCTTGTCTTTGAAAAGTAGAGAACATAATTAAAGTTATAAATAAGTAAATTACTAAAAGCTTTAAAAATCAAGTACATTCATGTAAATCTGGTTTTCTGTGGTGTTTGTTTTTTTAAAAAAAAAAGCTGTTTCAAATTCCATGTAAGCTAGTCTGGTCTGTAGAACAAGTAATGCTAACTTCAGCATTTTGCTGAAATCTCAGTTATGAATTTTGAGTGACCTTAAGAATACTTGTTTAGAACGTAATATGTATTTAAATTGAGTTGTACCAGAAAGGTGGTGGGTGGTTTTTTTTGATTTTGTCCCACAATAAGTCTTTACAAACAAATTCTAATCTCCTATTTAATATAATGGTATGCATGATTGTCAAAAAATAGACTTCAGCTTCAATTCTGAAGTTATTTGAATGAGGACTGTGCTATTTCAGTAAAGGAAAAGACATGTTTTCAAATTATTGTTCTTTAGAAATAAAGTCCATATAAAGATTAGGGAACTGCATTTGATATTATGGCAAAGGATGACAGTGTTCTTTTAGGTAACTCTGAAGTAAAACATCAACACAGAAATGTAGGGTGGGGTGGTGATTCAGTGTGACTTTCTTAGAGTTGTTTACTTTATAGTCATATCCTCTCCCTAACCTATCTGTTGTAGCAGGCTTTCTCATGTCAGCATACGTGAACTTTCTGTGTAGAATTTTGAGATACAGCAGCCCTGCAGATGCTTCTCCCCCCTCTTTGGCAGCCATTCAAATCTGCATTAAAAGTAGATAAAGTATTAATGATTAATACTTGTTTTCATGAGACTCTTGTTTTCCTGTATGTGCAACGTTTGTGGAAGTGATGTTATTTTAGTCTGAAATTTTCCAGTTCTGTGTACATGATAAAGAGTTACCATAGTAATTCTTGTGAAAACCGTGTGTGTCTTTTCTGATGTCAAGCTTCAAGGTATGTGACTGAGTATTTTTATTTTCTAAATTTTCATGGCAGAGATTCTGTTTCACGGTCAGATGAACTATTACTAGCTTGCACTGTCAAAAGAATTGATGGAAACCATTTTAACTTTGTTCTCTGTTTTTTCTCAAGGCCTAAGTAAAATAGCAGGACACAGGCCGTAGTTTAGAGATATTTAGCATAGCAGCACTGTATGTTAGAATGTGTTTATCACATTCTAGAGAATGCTAGTGGTAGGGAGAGTCCTAGACCTTGGGAGGGAGGTCAGTATCTAGCAGCAGGAAGGACTGGAAGGAGGCAATGAGTTTTGTGTAGGGAAACACATTTTAAGTTTCTCCTTGAGTTTTAATAGTGTGTATAGAGCCATCTGCACTCCAAGACTCGACTACTCTTCTTAGTAACTTCAGTGATTCAGTACTGAGATGTTTGGTTAAAAATTTCTTGTGTGTGTTTCAATAGCTTTTTAAGCTGTGGTCAAGGTATCCAATATGCCCTGTTGAATAATGCTTTAAAATGCTTTTTCCCCTGGTTAATTTCCTGGATTTGGATTTAGTTCTTTTGTCTCAGCCATAGTAAGTCATAGCTTAAGCTTTGTGTTCCTTGTTTCCAGCAGTTTGCTTTTAGAAATGTCTAGAGCCTTTTTCTTGTGTGTAGAGAGGTGAAAAGTGATAAAAAGTATAGTTATGAAGGCCAGAGCCAGCAGAAAGCTGGAGAAGTACTGAAGCCTTGGGATGCTTGGTGTTGTAAAGTCTCTGATCCTGAGAGAAGCCCAGTGGCTTTATCCAGGCCATCAGCTGTTCACCTTCTAGAGAAGTATCTTATAGGGTATTTCTTCTAGCAGCTGATACCCTAAGCTTTTGTAAGCTTTTGATCCTGCTGAAGTATAGAATGAGTCAGACTGAATACAAAAATACGAAAATACCATCTGCTTTTGAGTTACATATGGCAAATTTAAACCTTAGTAATCACTTGAACAAAATCCAGGTGCGACTGCACTCAAGTTTTTGTTCTTGTTAGGAAATTGCTCCAGTAAATTTTGTGCATCATCTTAATTCCTAATGCAAAACTGTA